TCTTCTTGGGCCTGAGCCCACAGTGCACCCTCTGTCCCTTCCTCCCCTCCGCCCACCTCTCGGTGCTCACTGCCACACCCCCTCCACGTCTAAAAGCTCTAGCCTCCTTCTGGCCCCAGGGCCCCTGGCTCGAGGCTCCAGGAAAGGATGCAACTCCAGGAGTCGACTTCCAGGTGGTGTTGCAGCATCTCCACTGGGTCCGGGGACATGTGGCACCTGCTCGCCCTGAGGCCCAGCAGCGGCTTCTTCGACTGGCCCTCCTGGCCCTACAGGTCTCCCTGCGCTGGGCCTGCCTGGAGCAGCCTGGCTCTGTGGGCTAGCCTGGGCACCACCAGCGGCGGAACTCTCTGGACTACCTGGGACACCGGCAGCTTCAGAGCTCTGTGAGCTAGCCTGAGCACCGCCAGCGGCAGAACTCTGTGGACTAGCCTGGGCACCGCCGGCTGCGGACCTCTGTGGGCTAGCCTGGGCACCGGCAGCTGCGGAGCTCTCTGGGCTAGCTCCAGAGCTGGAGACCCAGGCTGCCCATGCTCACCTTCTTCTTCACCGCTTGCTCGCCCATCTGGGGCGGCGCGGGGATCCCACATGGCTACTCAGGCCTCGTACTCAGAGCCCAGGCCTGTGCGCCAACCGCCAACCGCTCGGGAAAAGAGAGGCCGGCGCCACCCGACGGCCCTTTATGTACCACACAGCACGTGACCTCAGGCCACTGTGCCTGTGCAGACCGGATCGCCAGAGGGTCGCTTCCTTCCTGTCCAGGTACGGCTCCCCTTCCGGGGGTCTCCGAGGGCCGGACGACAGAAGCTTCCTCACATGAGGGCCCTTCCCCACTCGGCCTGTACCCATGAACCCTCAGTGTGCGTTTCTTCCCGCCCAGACACATCTGTCAGGATTTCTTAGACCACCGAAAGCCCGAGGTTGCAGGAATCCCAGCGTGGCAGCAGTTCTCAGTGAGGAAACCTGGGTGTTCACACTGTCTGTGCAAGTATATCCAGCCTCTCAGGGACACTTGCAGATATTAAGACCTTGACAGATGGTTCTGCTGCACTGCTCTGCCCAAATTTTACCCTCTGGACCCAGAACTCCCTCCTGCACAAAACAGCCTCATATCTGTCACCAGTCAAACATCACCTAATGTCACTGATGAATATAGATGAATGGGAAGGTTCATCAGAATCCTGGATGCTGGCTGATGGCAGGAACAGATACCCATCCCTTTGAACATGTTCCTAGGGCTGGATCCCATTTGTAGGACTGTCAGCAGGGTGGTCACAGGGGAATTTCTTCCTGTGGTCACTGTCAGGATTCTGAAGACCCCAGGAGATTCACTGATGAGGTGGGAGTCGTGCCTTGTAGGAATCATTGGCCAGAACAGTGGCCTCTGGTTGCATTCCAGGAAAGAGGCACACCATATGGCAGAAAACCATGATGAAGAGGTGTGTTTACACATACCCCATGAAATCTCGTTTTCTTTAATGGGCAGAGTTATCTAGAAGGACAGAGTTTTTAAAAAGCAGGGTAGGGCTGGCTTTCAGCACTTTATTTCCTGCAACATGGTGACACTTGCTGAGCTGTGTAGGTCCCTGAGAGCGTCTGAGATCTGTAGGCTGAAAACTAAGGCACAGGGGCTGTTGCAGTCTGGGATGAAGGCCGAGGACACCTTGGTGGTCCAGGTATCCCTGGAGTCCAGGGCCATCTTGGTTATTCCCAAGAAGCAAGAGTCACAGATCACAGAGCTAACATGGGACTCACAAGCACATCACCTAACCTGTGTCGAGATGATCTGTCAGGATCTGGAGGTCATTCTTTTACAGGCATGTGTGGATATCCCAGAAGATGGTCTGTCCACAGACTGAGTCAGGGCTGGATGGATGCTGCAAGACCACAGCCAGAGACCAGGAAATAGATTACTTCATTTGTTTTGGATTCAGTCCAGTCAGGTGGGGTGGAGGATGTTCCATAGAGAGTAGGTCTGATCAAGAGCATAAAGGAATCTCTGAAGAGTACATCCAGATGGACAATGAAGCAAAGACTTCTACAGATTTCCATGAGATCATTATTTATTATACTGAAGAATGAAAGCATGAAATGTTCAGCAATTGCATCATAATTATTTTTAATTTTTTTTCCTGAATTTTTGGGAGAGAATCTCGTTATGAAGCCCCAGCTGACTCAGAACTCACTGTGTAGACCAGGTCGGCCTCTTAACTCACAAAGATCCACTTGCCTCTACCTCCTAACTGCTGGGATTAGAGATGTGTGCCACCACACCTGGAGTTTTTGTTTGTTTTTGTTTGGAGTTTTTTATGTGTTTGAGTGTTTTGTTTTCATGTATAAGTGCACCACGTGCAGGCAGTGCCAGCAGAGGCCAGAACAGGGCATCAGATCCCCTGAGACCAGAGTTACAAATCATTCTTATCCACCACCATGTGGGTATTGGGAACCGAATCCAGGTGCTCTGCAGGAACAGCAAGTGCTCTTAACCACTGAGCCATCCCTCCAGACCCTACACCATAATTCTTTATGCATCTATTCCACTACATGTCTGTGAAGAATTTTTTAGAAACTCATACATTCGATGAAAATGGTTTAGAACTTTATTTATAATAATGATGGGCTGTTTGTATTATGCAATTGGTATAAAAATGCAGCAACCAAACTCAGAAAACATACCAAAAAGTGTTGTCTGATGTTCAAGCTGAAAAACAAGAGTTTCAATTTTCTTCTACATCCCAACTTTTCTCTTTAGCCACATGAATATCTGAATTGCAGAATCTCCCTCACCACAGGAAAAAAGCCAAAATATATGGAGGGACAGAGGCTGAAAAGTAACTCAGATGAAGATAAGTGGCCTCGTTGTATTTTCTACCTTAACAAACATTTCCATACCTCCCTATTCCAGCAACAGGGAAACAACAACAGGCTGGGGAGTCCCAAAACACCAACACAGTTCAGCCATTAGGCCCCAGGATGAGGTGTCAGCCAGTGCTCATACCAAATTCCTAGGTAAGGATGCTGGACCTAGGGGAAATTAGGTTAGGCCTAGCCACCTCTGCCTGACTGAAGCCTAGCAAAAGAAATAAGGATACAAAGTGCTGCATAGTCTGCACCAACAGAGCAACCTGGTCCAGTCCAGAAGTCATGGTCCAGGTCTCCAAAAGTCTTCAGCTAAAAGTGAGTGGGCGAAAGAGAAAGGTGATAACCCTGGATTTACTCCTGGTAATCCCTCTGGTAGGGACAGGCCATGTTCATCAAGGTGTAGTCTTGGACCTACCTATTCTTGGGTAATCCCATTGACCTCTGGTAAGGACATTTTAATGGGGAGTGAACCCAGCCACAGGCTACCATGGACCATCCAGACCCTTTTGTGTACATTGCCTGACACAGAGAGGTCTCTCTGAAGTGCACCTTGAAGGGGCTGGTCCTGTGGGGCCAGACACCGGAAGGTTATCTATGCTTCCATACATGACAGAAAGGTACCATGAGGATGCTACTGGAGGGATGGTTAAGGCACCAGATAGCACTGACTTTGTATCTCAGGCTTCCTATCATTCTGAGGCATGTCCCCCAATCCGCCCCCCACTCTGACCCAGCTGCCCTAGGTCTCTGTCCCAAACTTGGCACCAGCCAAGTCGGCCCCTCACCCCTACTGGACCAAGCCCCGAGTTGTCCTCAATCCTGCTGTTTCCTTGGATGTATTCTTCTGAGACTCCCCTATGCTCAGTAAGCCCCACACTTCACCAAACATCCTCCAGCAATGGACTGGACTGAATGGGATACATATGAATATCTCCTTTCTGACCCTCTGTCTGTGGTACCAAGGCACCCATCCAGCCTTGACTCTACCTGTGCACCAAATCCGGCATGCCACACAGGCGTGACAAAAGAAGGCCTCTGTACCCTGGCACACTGCATCCTCCGGATTCTGGTAGGACATCGCCACTTCGGCCAGGGGTATGAGGTGACTTTGAGTCAAGTAGGAGAGCCTCTCCTGTGGCTCCTGCCTCTCAGTTACCAACATGGGTACCAGTACTGTGGCTGTCAGGCCTACCGGGGTTTTCTTGGCGTTTATTCCCTACTTCAGTAGCTTCTGCATCTTGGCCTGCAGCCTGCATAGTTGCTCACCCTTCTTCCACAGTCTGAGTGGTGGAACCCACAGTCCCCCACTACCTGAGCATCTCCAAGTAGCAAGAAACATTAACTGCTACAGGAAGTGCTGCCAGGCCCTGACAAATGAAAACACATGTGACTTCAACGAGCTTGCAGAAATATACCTCTTCCACAGTGTTTCCTGCCAAAATAAAAGCCTCTGTGCTGGACTCGAACCAGAGGCCATGACTGTGACCGATGGTTCCTATAAGCCCATCGTGCTTTCAGAACATAGGAATCCAGGGCGGTGATGGACCTCCTTTTTCTACTACACCAATCAGTGTCATTAAGAGATGCCCGGCTGGTGGGGGATGTGGGGCTTCATTGTGTACAAGGGGTTCTGGGTCCAGGGGAACAGTTTGTACCGGAGCAGTCGGGTAGAGCAGCTTGGCGGAACCATCTGTCATGGTCTTAAAATCTCCGGGTGTGTGAGACACAGGTCAGCCTGCTTGCGAGGCCACTCTGAATATCCAGGTTGCCCCAACCAGGACCGCTGCCAAGCTGAGCTTCCTGAGGCCTTAGGCTTTCTGATTCCTAGGGGAGCAGTGACACAGGTGGATGGAGCAACGTGTAGGAAATCTACACTGAGGGGTTCCGCCAACACAAGTTCCCTGGGAGGAACCCCGTCTTCCTGGTCCTTGGAGACCCCCAGGGGAGGGGGCGCGAGAGAACACATGCTCAGCGGGAACAAACCAACCCTCGCGAGAACTGTTTGCGCAGGCGCAGTGGAACGCACGTGGCACGCTCTATATAAATGAGCGGGGCTTCGTACTGCGTCTCAGTTCCTTAGTGGAGCGGGAGTGTGAAGTGAGGGTCGAGATCGGAGAACAGACTGAGAAGCGCGAGTAACCATGCAGAACCCTGGTGAGGGAGCAGCTGACAGAGCAAGCGGTGAAGAAGGTGAGGATGGGCAGCGCAGATCTAGATCTCCTGATGCCCAGGCTAGCTCCCAGAGTTCAGCACCCGAGGGTAGCCATGGCAACCTCCCTCAGCCTAGTGGCGGTCAGGCTTCTGGTAGCCAGGCTGCTCCCAGCAGCCCCAGCCCAGGCCACCCCGTAGGCTCAGGAGCAGCAGTTGAGGAGGCAGCCGCTCCTCCCGAGGGCGAGCAGGCTCCACTGGTCCCCGGACCCAGTGGAGACACGGCGACAGCCACTAGAAACCGACTCCTGGAATTGTATCCTTTCCTGTGGCCCCTAGCTTGGGGCTGTGTACACAGAGGGAGGCTGACTGCTAGAAAGGCTTTCGGGGCCTAGTGCCAGGAGGTTGACAGCAGGGGATGGGAAGGATGGCGGATGCAGTGGGGACAATCAGGCATAACCTTAGTTGACATCCTGGCAGGACAGAGTCACCTATGGCCAAGAGCCGGAATCTTTGAAGATGTGGGCGGTGGCTGGGGCTTATCAGGAACGAAGGGCTCGTAGGCCTGCTCTTGGGTGGCAGGAGGGGACATTGAGGCAGGCCTTGAAGGGGTATTCAGGCCAAGGCAGAAGGAAACCCAGTCGAGGACGGTGCCTTAACCTTGTCTCCCCCAGCTCTGTAGCAGTGCCTTTCCGTTCACCTGTGGAGGCAGACATGGCCCGCAGGTCCCTGATCGCCAATGCCCAGCGCCAGCAAGTGACGATTCAACCAGAATTCACAGTGAACGACAGTACCCTGACTGTGTCAGTCACCGAAAGTCTGGAGTGGGGGTGATCTAGGGCCTGGGATGGGACAGTGCGCACTCTAGGGGTGTTGTAATGGTGACACAGGTGGGTTAGATATAAGTAGGAGGCATGCGTGGTGGACCTGCACAGATCCCTCATCTCTTTCCTGTGTCTCTCACTTTTAGTAGGTGGACCACTGAAGATCCTGTTCTCTTCCGAATTTACATCAATGCCTTCCTTGAGCAGCTGGCTTTGGTGATGAGGAACATTCAGCGCCTTGAGTTGGTGGCTGTAGTCAAACGAGGACGGGGAAGAAGTAACAAACCCTAATGTGCTTCCCTGAAACCAGAAAAGGCAAAGGCATTTCATGTTTTGGGTAATTGTCACTTTGCCTTGAAAGTTCCAGTTTTTGATGCTGTTCCTGTACTAATCTTTTTGTTCGGCTTGTTTCCCAGTTGCTAAATGACTGGATGCTGAAATGTTTGTTACTGAACAAAGTAAAACCGACCTACTGATTTTCAGGTGTGTGTGTGATTTTATTTTGCACGATGGCATAAATTCCGAGGTCTCAGATTCGTGTGTGCTTCTTTTGGAGCAGTCGATCTGGGATTCAGATTTTTAATAGTCCAAGGTAATTGAAAACAATTCAGGAAATGGGAGGAAAAATAAGTTATTTAAGTCCAGTCATAGAATACTAAATTGTTTTTTTTTAATCTTAGCATGCAGCTTAGCAGGTCTTTTAATTTTCTTAAATATTTTTATGTGTATGAGTATTTTGTGCATGTAAGTGTACCATGTGCATGCAGTGCCAGCAAAGATCAGAAGAAGGTGTTGGATCCCCTTGAACTGGAGTTAGTTGTGAGCCACCCTATGGATGTCAGGAACCAACCAGGTCCCCTACAAGAGCAGGCAGTGCTCTTAACTGCTGAGTCATCAGTACAGTCCCTTAGCAAGTTTTTATTGTTGTCTTGGTTTTTGAGACAGGGTCTCACTATGTAGCCCTGGCTGGCCTGGAACTTACTATGTAGACCAGGGTGGCCATGATCTTACAGAGCGCCCCCCTCCCCCACCTCTGCCTCTCAAATGCTGGGATTAAAGGTGTGTGCCACCACACTCAGCATATTTAGAGGTTTTCATGGCATTTTCATACTTGCTTTTGGATTACCCTCTCTTCCCTTCTTCTCCTCTCCCCACAGTCATGCCCCCTTTAACCCTTTCACCTCCATAGCCTGTGTGTTCTCTTGCCCTCCCTAGTATTTTTTTTTTTTGGTCTTTTTGAGACAGGGTCTCCCTGTAGCCACAGCTGTCCTGCAACTCACTATGTAGACCAGGCTGGCCTTGAACTCACAGAGATCTGCCTGCCTCTGCCTCAAGTGCTGTGATTAAAGGTGTGCGCCACCACGCCTGACCCCTAGTCTTCTCTTAAGGCATCTTTTTCCCCTTGGGCCCTTTCTACTTTACTGGCATCTGCCTACACTAAACCCTGTATAAATACACCTATATAAAAATTGGAAACTAAAATTTTTATATAGAACATGGTGTTTTTCTTTCAGATTCATGATTTTTTTCACTTAGTGTAATATTTTCCAGTTCCATTCATTTTCTTTCTTGCAGGTAGTATAATTTAATTTTTATTTATGGCTTAACAAAATTCCATATGTGTGGTGTGTGTGTGTGTGCCACATTTTCATTATCTATTCATCTGTTGATAGATATCTAGGCTGATTCCATTTCCTAGCTACTGTGAAGAGTGCAATAAACATGAATAGGATGAGTAGTTGTCTTTATGGTACTGATACAGAGTCCTTTTGCCTTATGCCCAGTAGTGGAATATTAGAGTCATAAAATAGTTTGTTTTTTTAGCTTTTTGAGAAACCTGCACACTGATGTCCACAATGGCTACACGAGCTTACACTCACACCAAAAGTCAATAAGGGTTCCCCTTTCCCGAATCCTCACCAGCATATGTTGTCACCTTTTTTTTCTTGATAATAGCCATCTTGACAGACTCTCAATGCAGGTTTAATTTGCATTTCCTGATAGTAACAATGTTGAACACTTTTTAAAATATTTATTGGTGAAGCTGAAGAAATGTCTCAGTGGCTAATAGCACTGGCTATTCTTCCAGAGGACCCAGATTCAGTTCCCAGCACCCACATGGCAGCTAACAACCGTCCATAACTCCAGTTCCAGGGAATCAGACACCTTCTTCTGGCCTCTGTGGGCATTGCACAACATGGGTGCACTTACATACATGCAGACAAAATACCTATACACATAAAAAAAACAAAAAATTTTAAAATTTATTGGTGCCTTTGATCCCAGCACTGGAAAGGCAGAGACAGGTTGATCTCTGTGAAACTGACAATAGCGTAGTCTACATAGTGAGTTCCAGACCAGGCAGAGCTACATAGTGAGACCCTGTTTCAAAAAAAAAACAAAAAAAAATGTATTAGCCCTTTCTCTTCTCTCCTTTATGTGTATGAGTGTATTGCCTGTGTGTGTATAAATGCACCTGTGCCATGCAATGCCTTCGAGATCAGAAGAGGGCGTCAGATCCCCTGGAACTGGAGTTACAGACAGTTGTTAGCTGCCATGTGGGTGGTGGGATTCAAACCCAGGTCTTCTGCAAGAACAGCCTGTTTTCAACTGCTGAGCCATCTCTCCAGCCCATGTATTTCTTCTCTTAAGAACTCTCTGTTATGGGGGCTGGAGAGACGGCTCAGCGGTTAAGAGCACTGACTACTCTTGCAGAGGACCCAGGTTAGGTTTTCAGCACTGGCTAGACAGCTAAGAAGCATCCATAACCCCAGTTCTAAGGGATCTGGTGCCCTCTTCTGGTCTCTGCAGGTATTGCACAAATTGGATGCACTTACATACATGCAGGCAATACATTAATACACTTAAAACAAAAATAAATAAAAATTTTTTAAAAGAAGTGCTGGCCAGGGCTGGAGCAATGGCTCAGTGGTTAAGAGCACTGACTGCTCTTATAGAGGACCTGGATTCGACTCCCAGCACCCACATGGTGGCTAACAACTATAGGTAACGCCACTTCCAGGGTATCCGATGCCATCTTCTGGCCTCCAAGGGCATTGCACCACACAGGTACACTTATATACATACTGGGAATTGAACCTGGGTCCTCTGCAAGAGCAGTCAGTGCTCTTAACTGCTGAGCCATCTCTCCAGCCCAATATAATATTTTTTAAAAAAGAAGTGGTGGCCCTCCCTTGAAGCCACATGCTGCCCTACTTGCTGCTCCTGATGCTCTAGGCTTGAGCCACCAGCCTGAGCAGATGTTCTTCAACAGTGCCAACATCCAGCACGTGGATGTGCCCACACTGACCAGAGCTTTTGGCATCCCACCGTGCCCATGTTGAAGGTTCTGTGGCCTGTATGGTCATGGTCTACATTGGGGATGGGACCAGCACTAAGTACTTTGTGAGCAGTAGCTCAGTCACCGTGAATGCAGACTCCTTGGTGCAGTTACTGGCTAAAGAGACTGTGATGCTGGCGATGCTGGACCTAGGGGTGGCCAGGGCCAACTTGGAGAAGGCTCAGTAGGAGCTGGCAGGTGCCACAGACGAGGCTACTTGGGCCGAGATCCAGATCCATATCGAAGCCAATAAGGCCCTGGTGAAGGCTCTGGAGTAGGCTCCATGTAGGCCCAACCAGGAAACTGAAACAGGCTGGAAGCTGCTGGGGGGCCAGGCCCTGTCGCTGCGAGGGTGGCCACCAGGGGACAGTGTCTGCCTGAGGCTGAGGTGGCTCCAACCTGCCGACCTCAACCCCAGGACCCCACAACCTGCAGGGCTCCCCTACCCCAGCGCCCTGGCTCAGAGAATATGATGTTGCCAGAGGACTTCATAGATTGCCCTTTATCATATTCAAGAAGTTCTCTTCTGTTACCAGTTAAGTGTTTTAATCATTTAAAGGATGTTGGATTTTGTCAAAACTATTTCTTATTTTATTTTTTGAGACAGGGTCTTATTATGAACCCCTGGCTGGCCTGGAACTCACAGAGATCTGCCTGTCTCTGCCTCCCCAGTGCTGAAATTAAAGTTATGCAACACCAGACTTATCAATACTTTTTGATTCTGCATCAGTTAAAATGATTGTGTCAGGGTTTTTCCTCTGTCCTGTTAAAGTAATGTATTACACCGATTTTTCTCATGTGGATCTACTCTTAGATTCCGAGGATCTCACTTAGTCAGGCTTCATGTAACCTTTGAAATATGCTGCTGGGGGCTGGAGAGATGGCTTGGTGGTTAAGAACACTGGCTGTTCCTGCAGAATGCCTGGGTCCAAATCCCAGCACCACAGGGCAGCTAACAACTGTCCATAACTCCAGTTCCAGGGGATCCAACTCCCCCTTCTGTCCTCTGCAGGCATTGTACAACATGGGTGCATTTACATACATGCAGGCAATACATGCATACATATAAAATAAAAATAATAAAATTTTTAAAATTTTTTAGAAGAAATATGCTGTTGGATTCAGGTTGCTGATATTGTGTTGAGGGCTTTGACAGCTATATTCATCAGGATGCTGATCTGTAGTTTTCTTCTAGTTTCTTTACAAGACCTTAGTATCATATTAATACTTGCATTACAGAATGAGCTAGAAACTATTTCTCTTTCTGTATTTTGGAAGATTTTTAGAAGGATGGGATATGGGCGTGCGGGGATCTCGGGGTGCCAGCTGCTGGGCGTGGCGCCAGTCTCCCACACGTCACTGGAGTGCAGCGGGTCCCGCAGGCCGCGTCTGCTGTTCAGGTCCCTGGCTCTCCGCAGCTGGGGTGCGCGGGTTTCGCGCACCGCGTTGCCATGGGTCTCTGCTACCAGAGCTGGTGGCTCTAGGACCGCTGTCAGCTGCCCAGTTGGCTTCTGTTTCAATTTCCACCATGCACTCTCTCTCTAAGTTCGAGACCTGTCGGCCACCAGGTCACGAGGGGAGGTGCAAGAAACGGTGAAAGCAGGGTCGTCGTGAGTCGATGACGGAAGGATAGCCCCCCCCCCGGGGAGACTGGATCACAGGATTCAGCTGCCCGGTCGGGTTCTGTTTCTCGCACCTCCCCTGGCACCACCTGGAGGCCAACAGGTCTCGAACTTAGAGAGAGTGCATGGTGGAAATTGAAACGGACAGTAGAAGAAGCCTTAGCTGATAGGTACTCCTGGAATGCCCCATTTACATAGGGCAGTGGGCTTCTATCAGGCTATCAGACAACGCCTGATTAAAACCTGGTAGCTCCTGTGCCGGAGGGCATGTATCTTGTGACGGGCATTTCAAAAGTAAGTCAAGGAGGAGAACAGAAGGCGTCCCGCTG